TGTCATTTGCAGATTTTGTCCATTGCATAAACTGTCTTTTGCTGCCGAATTTTGGCTATTATAATAATTGTATTCGGCCAGAATTACTGTTTGCACTGATTGACCCTTAATTTTGTTTATAATATCATGCAGAACGCAAGAATTATAGGTCAGGAGATAGATATATTAGTAAAAAGAACGAGGAGGAAAAGACGTGTGCTCTTGACTGTGAAAAAGAGGAAAGTGAGGACTACTATTGTCCTACGCCTTAACGTGAACTAGCCATATCAATAAAATCTGTTCTAAAGCATCGTCGATAGTTGGTCTGATGAAATATTATAAAAATACATTATCTAGAAATGCATTAGAAATTATCTATAAAGCGTGTGTTTTGTCGATTTTGAATTATGGCTCTATAATCTACTCGTTAACAACATCGATGAATTTGAATAAGGTTGAACACATTCAGTATGAGGCTGCAATGGCCATCTGTGGAACAATGGAAGGTACATCAAAAGACTGACTATATGAAATCTTAGGTTGGATATCCACAAAAAAACATTTTTATATTTTGAGGTTATTGACATTTTTCAAAATAATTAAGGGTCGTGCACCTGCTTATCTAATCAATCATTTACAGTTTCATAGACCAAGTGTTCGATATAATTTACGAGGTAATTCGAATATTACATTAGAGGTAGTTAATAATTTGGAAAAAGACTTCTTTACTGTTGTTACGAAAGAATGGAACAATCTGATAGTGAACAATGGTGATTACATCACTATGAGTATTCCAAAAATGAGAATATGCTTAAAATCAGACTTAATCACAGTACCACCATTTCCTAAAAAGTTAACATTTTCGACACGTCAAGCAGAAGGTTTATTTTTTAGGATAAAATCAAACTTTCCAGCACTTAACTACTATTTATTTAAACATAAATGTGTAGTCTCGCCTAAGTGTATATGTAGGAGTATTAGAGAGGATGCTGAACACTATCTTCTTAATTGTCCACTATATAATAAGGAAAGAAAAATTTTAAAGCAGAAAACTAAATTTCTTAAAAACCTTCACCATGGACATATTACTACTTAATGAGATTGGAAGGAGCGAGGATAAGGTAGCATCTATTTTTTGGGCTGTGAACTCTTTTATTTCTGAAACAGGACGATTTGAAAAGTAGCAGCATGTCTAATTCCTTTTAATTCTATTTATAAGCCATAAACCCACCATATCTACAGGACCTACCACTATCATTATCATTTACCGTTTATTTAATTCATTTTATATTTCATTTTTACTGTTACTTCCTTCTGTCCCCTCTGATTTCAATTTACCTTCTCTTTGTTCTTGATTACATATTGTTAAACGTTAGGCCTAAAATGACCCTGTCGCTGGCCTCTTTACTATGAATCAATAAAGTCATATAAAATAACGTAAATTGTTATCAGTCCCTAAGTTAACTTAGGAATCTCACTTATTCTTGATCTCTAACTTGACTTAGGTATCGCCATTTAAATTATGATAATACATATGTAAAGAAAATGTCGCTTGACTATAGGGAAAACATTTTAAAGAGGAAAGAATCGGAAAACTCATCCGACTATCCTTTCTTTATCTCTATAAGTCACACTTATATGTATTTTTTCTTCTTGTCTATTTTTCGTGTTGTTCCTTATCTCTCTCTCTCTCTCTCTCTCTCTCTCTCTCTCTCTCTCTCTCTCTCTCTCTTTCGCCACTTAATTCTTTTCTTTTAATCTCTGCCCGTTTACATACGAAGACTGTTCAACTGTTCATTCCCTTAAACAGAAGAACAGACCATGGAATATCGGATTTGTTTTTAGTTCGTTTAGTTTGTTTGAAAATATATACTTCGAGGGAGATTTCTAGGAAATTGTCTTTTGGCGAATCGTGCTCTGGCGAAACGTCAGAGATTCCCCAAAATTTTGCGTACACAAAAAAATGGTAAAAAACCGTTTCGCCAAAAGACAATTCGCCATGGAGAAATGCCAGTGCCGTTTCGCCAAGAATTTGTACGCTTTTTAGTGTTTAAACGTAATAAGCTGCTGGATTTTAACAAACAAAAAGGTGGCTATTACAGAGAAGAAAGCCTTAATTCCTAAAAGTCTGGTCAAAAATACAACTGGGGAGATACAAAAGATAGCAAAAATTGTTGCTGCTTGTGAAAATTATCGTTTAAAAATAAACTTCAAACTTCGTTTTACGACCACAATAGTCGGGAGGGTTTCTATAACAAAGAAAAGTATAGTCATTTGACTTGTCTCAGCACACAGTTGAGATAGGATTGTGTGTACGTATGCGCCTTTGTTTCTTTGTCAAACAGGCAGTATTATTTAGTTTTCAATAAAAACTAAAGAGTACCACTTTTTTAAATTTTTAGAAACTATGTTAGATTCTGCATTTCTGCTCATTTCACTATTTTGTGCTTATTTCGTTTCAAAGATATATGAAAATCAGAATTTACTGTTATTGCCCGGACTCACACCTGCTGATTATGGACGTAATGTATTGGATACACTATTTAATCAAGCGGAATTAGCAACTCATTCGATGCCGCCACTAATTCGTCATAAAAGAAAACCAAGTGACCCTCCCGTCTTAGATAATGAAAAAATTAAGATGCTTAAAGGTAAGAAGACTGAGTTTCTGTTTGTGGTTTATTGCCATTGTCAATTGTACTGAAAAATGATATAACATCTTAAAGAACCTGATCAGAATGAAATTTACCCCACTCTCAACACATGAGAAAATGGAAGTACCTTAGGAGTGTATAAGTACCTTGATGTCAGTTTGCTGTGATTTCGCCGCTTTTCTGGATAAAAATAATTAAAATGTTTGAACTTACAGTGCTCTCAAATGTGACATTCGTTCAATTTTCACTGGCTTTTTACCCAAACAAGAAAACATACATTTTTCTATTATACACCATTTTGAGCTCATGAAATTTGCTACAAACTAAGCTAGTTAAAATATCTACACTGGTGGGCCAGTCATTAAAGACATGCAAAAGAAACGTTTGGGTGTTATTTATGCAGTACAAGGTGTTTCATTATTATTAAAACCCTTTGTTTTTAATTTTTCTCTTTCAGAGTAACAGCTGGAACAAATCTGAATACTGATTTCAATAGCCCGAAGATTTTTCTACCAGATGAGGTGCATATCGATCAAAAATCAAAGAGTTAGTTTTCTAGGCTTCAGATTTTCCAGAAACCCTGTTATCAAGTTTTTTTTATAAAACCTCGATATGCACCTCATCTGGTAGAAAAATCTTCGAGCTATTGAAATCAGTATTCAGATTTGTTCCAGCTGTTACTCTGAAAGAGAAAGATTAAAAACAAAGGATTTTAATAATTATGAAACATTTTTCATTTCCTCATCAGAACAAGCGACCTCCGTTTTAACTAGCTCCACGGTTAGTGCAGTTTATTCTAGAAGTTCGTATGTTTCGGAAAAATGATACGAAATTTTAGTTCTTTTTCAGATTGAAACGAGTTTTTCGCGTTTTCACTCTCATAAAACTGTTTTTTTTAAACGCAGACAGCTTACTTTGTGGCCAAGGTAGCAAAAACGCATTATCATTCAGGATATCCTGAGAGACATAAAGATAGATCTTTTTGTTTACTCAGTAAAAAACGAGTTTTCTGGCTTTTGAATTTATAAAAGAACGCAGAAAATTTGCAAAACTCCGTTTTCTGCATGTCTCCTCAGGTTTTTCGATCGGAAAACGCAGGCGCTCAGAACATACAGACAATTCGGACTTTTTTCGCTAAAGTTTGTAAGCTTTGACAGGACTGTAATTTTGAGTTAATTTCAAGTTTTTAGAGAATCTTCTGCCATTTTCAAAAAATTTTATTTTCTAATTTTTTAAAATCAAACATATTTTCAAGAAAGTTTGATTTCCTAGTTCTTTGAGAATCGGGCGCGAATTTCAAGAAACTTGAATATCAAGATCGATTTTTGTAGAAAATACAAATCGACGTTGATTTTCCATAAGCTTAAAAATCACTTGTAGAAAATCGACGGCGATTTTTAAGAATATGACTCATTCATCTTTTTGATTTGCGATGAAATGGGATATCAAAACATCACAAAATGCACACGACAAATAAATCGCTAAAAATAAATTTTCTCTCTCCCTGTATGCATGGTGTGCATTTGCTAGTACGTCTGTAAACCTTGTCCAATTGCGCAGAATAGGCGAATTGTATGTCTTGTTTGGAAGTTATTTACAGAAAATTGCCGTTGGTTTCCTACGAATGCTTCTCAAAATTAAAATGTATTGCTTATAAAACAGACCACCCAGTGCCTTGAGCAAGTTTGATGTTGATTTTTTTGGGTGTGTAAAGGGAAAATTTTTTCCAAAAAGTTCTTGTCCTCTGCGACATTTTTTTGCATAAAACACGTCTTCTGCGTAAATTAATTAAATTTTTTTTTAAAATACAGATTTGTAACGTTTTTAGAACTAGGTTTAAGTTTACCAATTTTGCAGAAAGTTTCGCCAGATTCTCGCAAATAGCGCTACGATTTAGACAGACATACTCCACAAATCGAATCTGCCAGAGGGCGTGAGCCTTATGCCGCGAATAGTATGGCAGATAATGACTTTCGTTTCGATCTTCAGACGGTTTCCGCTACAAAGATCAATCACAGACGCTCATTTACTCACTATTTCTTGTAAATATGTACCGTTTGGATCAACTTCATAATCAGCTTGTTTTTTAACAATCGACAAAAAAGTAAAATAGTTACAAAAGTCGAACAAAGAAATTTTCATCGCTACACACCAAATCTCGTGTTTGTTTAGCCATTGCCATCATCTTCTGTTCGAGTTCGTTTATAGATCCTTTGATGTTTGTTGTTAGATCGCGAAGAACATCGTTACTCAAACTAGTCGAATACGTTGAGTGTGAACTGGCACTATTAGTGAAAATGGAACTAAGTGACGACGAACGACTCTCCTCTTCCGTTGCACGATCAGGAGCACGTCGCATTATTTTTCTTAAGGAAGCCTGACGAGCAAAGTGAGCTGAACGTGCTCTTCTTCATCATTTTCGTCGTATTCTTCAAGATTAAAACATCTTTTATTCGTTGTTGATTGTGTAGCAAAGCTATCACCTTCTTTACAGAAAAAAAAGAAACTCAGTGGAAATAAGTCGCACGGAGATAGTAGTCTCATTTTGAAGAGGATTTTCTGCTCTACAATGATGGTGCCTTAAGATGGTTCCAAAAAAGCGAAGTAGTGTACTTTTAAGAGTTTGACATTTCAAAAATGGATTTAGGGAGCATCCAGCTGATTTTCGTTAAATATAAACCCAAACGTAGTTGCAGCCACCTGAGGAGACACTTAGTCAATAAACTAGCAATGCTCTTCACAAAAAGCTACTCGTCTTACTATTACGTGGTAGTGTATCACGAGTCAATTGTTGTACAGGTTCATGTTGTGCTTCATCTGTTAAATCAAGTTCATAATTTGATTGAGTCATATTTTCGTGATAATTCTTTGGCCGATCAACTTCTTGTGATGCTTTGCTGAGTTGTTTTGCACGTTCTCTCATTGTTGTTTCAGATCCTATAAAAACAGAGCAAACACCACGCTAATTTCAGTCATCTTTCGAAAAAACTTCTGTGTTTTTTCCCTCTAGACTTTACTATTAAAGGAAGTGGCGCTTTTTCCATGGGTCATACCCCCCCCCGTTGGGTTTTTGTTTGTTTAACATTTGTCTTGTTGTGCGTGATGTGACAGTATGAAATCCATGAACCGCTCTTTGTACATTTTTTTTGTTAGCAAAAAGCCGGTTTCTGGGGAACCAATTTTTCAGAAACTCCGAAAAGTCCTCAAAACTTTTGTTAATCATTCAGAATTGTAGCTCGTGAAATTCTGATTAAAATGAGGCGTCTCCCAGCTCTACACAACCTTTTTTTGCAAAGTTATAGAATTTACACGAAAAGCCCTCCATGTTCATTGTCTGCTCAAAGCTGCAGAAGGAAAAAGAAGACATTAATTTAGGGCCTTTCTTGTAAATTCTATAACATTGCAAAGAAAAGTCATGTAGAGCTGGGAGATGTCTCATTTTCATTAGAATTTCACGAGCTACAATTCTGGCTGATTAACAAAAGTTTTGAGGATTTTTCGGAGTTTCTTTTAAAAGTGGTTTTTCAGAAACCGGCCTTTTCCTAACAATATAAATGTCCAAAGTCTGGTTCATGGATTTCATACTGTCACATCACCCACAACAAGAAAAACGTTAAACAAACAAAAAATCAACCGGGGGGGAGGGAGTATAGATGCCATCTCCTTTCAAAGTAGTGAATTCACTAGTTTTCGCGAAGCAAAATAGCCTGATTTCAAGCACTTAGTGGGAAACAGTTGAAGGTTTTCCATGAAAATCGACTGTCACTTACCACGCGCAATAACCATGTACATTGTTGTTGTTTCTCCTGTTTTTATTATAGCAATTTTACCAGTAATTATAAATGGAACTGTTTTCTCTACTGCAATGTATTCATTGGTATTGCTACTGTTCAGTAAGCAGAGAAATGACTCATCAGGAGTATAAACGTTTGGTGCTTGTGTATTTCGTTTTGGACGATTCGGTTGTTTTGGTGCCATTGCCTAGGTTCGTCGTTTATCTGAAATAAGAAATAGAGACCAAAGAAAATGAATTTGTTTTCGCAGGCATAGCTGTAAATGAACGAAGATGTAATTCAAAGAAATGCATTTTCTATAAGTTTTATTATTTCCTAAGAAATAAATACATTCATGACATTCATAAAATTGTGAAGATTGATTTCACACGCACATAAATCTACAGAAAAACAAAACCATAAAAGTGAAAAAGTACAAATTAATCGTGTTCGTCATTTCTAGACAAGGGAGTGGCTACTAAACAATCTTCTAATTCAAAAAGAATACATTGATTTAAAATAGAATCAACTTCTACAGAAACTTTTGACTGACAAGGTTGCTTTTTTAAGACTACGAAGAACAGATCTAGAGGCTCTTTAATAAGTGAATAAAAGGAAGTGGCGCTGAAAAATCCAGAAAAGTCTGATTTTTGCTCAAATGACTCCAGTAAAGCATAAGAGTTGATGTTATTAATTCTGTAAAAACAACAGATATTACTATACACAAGGTTAGAATTGAATTTTGCTACGACAGAGTAACTAGACGTATTTTTCCTTTTGCTATAGGCTGGAGAATGGTACATTTTACTGTTAATAATGAACCTACTTCCAACAGTCACACAACTTTTAATATCAGAGCAGCCGCATACCGACTTGTGATGTTGATCAATTTCTTTATCATATGTATGAATAATAATAGGATCATGCATTTCAAATAGATCAGTTGAAATGAGACTATCACATTCTGATGCATTATTCAAATAAAAATCAATTGAATAGTATAAAATCAACTGTTCAGCAATACTGCTTGAGCCAAAATCCTGTTGGCCAACTGAACCAATAAAGTCCTCAAAAGGAAAGGTACTAGTTGATGCCACGCTTCCATACTGAGAGTAAATAGCAGCATAATGTAGGTGTAAATGACAAGTTAACGTGTGAATTTTGTCAAAATACACTGGAATATGTTCTAAACAGAGGAAAAGTTCATTGCTAGCACACAGGTTTTTACGAGCACCGAAAGCGGTTCAGACACAGGAGGTCACTGCTAACTTAGAAACTGACGCATCCATGGGTCACTCGAAACACGGTCGCAAATATTAGGGGGATAGGAAGTAGGTGCATTGTTGATATTATTGTTGTACGAGATGCATCAAATAATTTACTTCTTTCCTTTCACATCTTGTCGGGTGTGAGTGACAATAGAGAGAAGAGAAGTAAAATAGATAGTAGAACATGTTTTCTTACATATGTTTTACTTTTCTTCTTTCTACTCTGTTTGAAGCGCTTGTCATTCGCTTAGATTTGCCAAGAAGGGAGTATAACTTATTTGATAAATCCCTAGCTATTTATTTATTTACATTACGCTTGAGCATCTCTTCTTATCAAGATTCTTCGTAAATGTTAATTTCTTAGCATTTACTGTTTTTGATTCGTTTATTGATTATAGAAACTGCTACTTACCAACAAGCACCAGTACAACACAGATAGGACCTTACAAAAAATCATTTTGTACTATACCAAAAATAATACAACTTTTATACGTGGTACAAAATGAGAGGTGGGGTGTTATGCCTCAAACCCTTAGGTGGGGATAGACGCCCCCGCATTCCGAAAATAAATATTCACATAACATAAAGAGAGAATTTACCAGCAGCCATATTTTCTTAGTGCTACCAAGTAACATGATATCGCTAATGAACTATCGATGAAATCTGACTTACATATCAGAAGAATTGCTTAGTAGCACAAAGCATGCTATATATGAAATAACCTATCTAGTATATTACATGCCTTTATTTCTCACCACTCAATGTCAACAGCGTTAATAGCAATGCCAAATACTTTGTGCGACATCACACTAGATTATTTCAACAATAAAGGAATGACGATAACTCATTCAAGCAAATTAATAAAGTAATAGATATACAAACACGATATGCACAGTTTCAGTCAAATCTGTAGCAAAAATGATTTTTTACTTCGACTTAATATGTATTTTGAATCTAAACTTTTTCTGACTATGAGATATTGTTTAGTTTTTTCTGCTCTTTCGAATAAGATATTGATCAAAAAAATTTTTTCCACAAAAAACTTCAGTAAAATATGTTTTTGCGACTATTATTTTAACTTTAAAATATTTTTAAATATCAAATTTTGTTCAGTTTTGTGCGTTCTTTCGAATGAAATGTCGTTTAGAAAGATCGAACGAAAACTGACGGTTTTAAACATAAAAAGCGGCAATTGGTCAGTTTTCGGGTTTTTTAGGCTTAGGTCTTGGGAAAACTTGATTTTCTCCAGAGCAAAATGACTTAGAAGGTTTTAAACAGTTTCGTCACCCTAGTTTTCGAATGATATACCTTTTAACAAAATCTATTTTTCGCGATTGACAGGAATACTCGATAGGCTCGTGGAGCCTCTCGTAAATCTGGAATTTTTGTCTATTGCACATGTTACCACAAACAAAGTGTGCATTTTTTGTAAAACCATATGGTAGTGCCTACATCTGTCTAATACAAAAACATACACTGAACAAAACATACACTATCCTCACGGACGTTATATCACACATGAGAGCCTTTTGTACTTTTGGATTCGTATAATGATTCATCGATGCCAATGTGCGATACTTCATGGTTGTTTGATATAATCGAGAGTAGAACTACAAATCGACTATCTCTTGTTTGATTTCTACGATGAAACGGATTAGCAACCACCTACCCCAAATGAAAAACGTTTCTCCGTTACTTCACACAATGTTCAGGTCTGATGTCGAGCCTGTCAGAACTTACAGTATCTAATTGATCCCAAACATCCAGTGGATATTGTGTTTGTTTAAACTGGTATTCTGTGTTTGAGACCTATATCGTCCTGGTTTCTGAGTTATCGACGTTACATCGCCTCCAGCACAAGATCACATGAATGGATGTTGATTCTGATTCACAAATGAGTAACTTGCACACAAGTTGTTTCGTCAACCAATTTGTTAACGGTTTCCATGTCGTTGGGCTGTTGTTTATCCACGGTTTTCGCAGCATACATCCACTCTTCTCGAGCTTGTCGATATGAGAACTTAGGTGTTGAACGAGATAAATACCACTCCGCGTTCATCGGTATTCCAAATGGGGGAAACTTTAACTCTTATTCAGGCACATGGGACTACTATCAGTCAACAGATTGCCGTGAAAGGTAATTTGATGCGTTTGTACGAGTGTTTTTCCCTGGTCTACAAAGACTACTTCACTTTTATATGATGTCCTATAAAGTGTTTACCGCTGATTTTTTACAACCGTATTCACTGTATCTCAGTTGTCGAATGCCATACGCCACTTACTTACTACTGTCGAATTTGCTAGTCTCATTAGTTTGGTGTAGTCAGTATCAAAACATCGACGCTCTTTACCAGTATGGATTATAGCAGAATTTCGTAATCTGCACAGCTACCGGAATCGTTTCTGCAGACAACATAATATTGAGTGTTACCAGCAATATGTTGTTAAACGTCAAGTATGGACGTTTGGATCAACGAATACAGAAAGACACAATGAGAATCATTCTTTCAAAACTCGGGTGTCCAAGGTAGTTCGTACTTTTATCACACCGCTAGGCACTTCTAGTCTTCATTGCCACCTGTAAGAGGCTTACAAACACCAAATGACACCATCAATAGCGCATTGAAAGTCCTTGGTGAGTTATATAGTTGCTATTGTGGTCATTTGCAACTGCCGACGGAAAAAACAGGGCAAGAGTTGTCGCGGTTAATTGATGTCAAATATGAAAATGCTTCATAATACTATACGAACCCAAAAGTCTAGTGCGATTTTTTTGATTGGTTGATCAGAATTTTATGAAGACAATGGGGTTACTTATTCCTGCACAAATCCAAAGTGCACCCATCATATTGACGTATGGCACGTCCGTAATGAGTTTCTTCTTTCTTTTTTTTCGGTTACTTTCGAATAAACCAACAAATAAACACACACACATTTTTCTAAAACTTATAGCCCATTAAATACCGCTAATCCTGCTGCCTACATTCTCAAAATCTAAATGTATACAATTGATGAAGTGATAACCTTCTGTTCAAGATAATCATAAGTGTCAGAACAACTTAAAACTTCAATCTATATGATGAATATTTTTTGCCAGTTAGTGAGATGAGTGCTGTTCAACCCTTTTAATGATTTGCTGAAACTGTCGGTAGTACGTGACCTGTAAAAAGTGTGCCAAGATAAGATTATGGTCTGTTTAAGAAGATCAATTTAATCACAGCTGTCATAATCAAAATCTTTGATTAAAACTGAATGTGTAAATAATAATTAAAGTACATATCACGGGTATAAAAAGGAAAAACAAGGTGAAATGAAGTCTATTTAGAGAAAAGTAAACAAATTTCTGTGTATAACAAAATTAATACACTACCAATAAAAAATATAACCACTGGGATAAACTTTATTACTGATTTATCACAATATCACCACATTTGTTTTGACTGATTAGTAGATAAATATTGCAAAGACTTGCCGTCGACGAAGAAAAAATAACAACATACGAACACGTAACAGTGTAACATAAAATCAACTTCTTCTCAAAAACTAGAATGCAAAAATTAGTATATGAAATTTCTTTAGTAGTTTTACATCTTTAACTTTCCACTTACTGAAAATAATCCTGTAGGTTGTGTATCTACTTGTGGTCTGGGTAATTTTAAATTTGGATTATATACTTCGATAATTTCTTCGTCATCAAACAAATTATCAAGAGGATCATGAAACATTGTTGTTAGGTCATCATCATCGATTATATCGTCTAAATCATCAAAAGGATCAACAGTATAGGCTGTTGTTGACGTTGATGTCGTTGTTGTATTGGTCGGTAAACTCGTAAGCATAACATGCATATCAGGACGTGCGACAGTTGCTCTCATGTTTACTCTCATTGTCTGTTCTAGATCACGAAAAAATTCACTATTGATTGTTTGATTATTATTATCGTTGTCGTATGTTGTTCGATATGTCGTTCTGGAATCGCTACTTTCTTCTGATGATAGAGTCCTTTCATCTAAACTGGTTGTAAATACTTGTACGTTTTCAGCTGTAACGTCTACTGGCACTTTTGCTCGTGGAAGGTGCCATAGACGACGAATAAGCACATTTTCTCTATAAATAAAAACTATCAAGATGAAATTATAGGAAAATAGTTTTATCAACTGCTCACTCTTCTTCTGGATGTTTTCTTCGTCGCCAAGCAGCCAGTGCAAGGAAACAACATGTTGTACAACATAATAATCCTGCTACACCACTCAGAACTCCGATGAGGATGGGTGTCCAATTAGGTGAGAATGGTTGTACAGTAAGAAGAGGCACTGTGGGTACGATCCGACAGTAAGGCGATGTTAATGAAGGAACATATGGATAAAAACAAGTGCATTCATCGAATGTTTTATTTTGACTTCCACCATTACATTTACCAGTTGAGAAATTACCACATAGATTACATTGATCACTTAAGTAACACGAACTAGTTTTATTACTAATTAACGCTAGAAAAGTAGGCGGAATTAAATATATAGAAAGACACTAGATAATTCTTTCTTTGATCATACACAAAAATCACTTACTCGGTTCAGAAGAATTACATTGGCGGATGGCATAAGCGCTGCATGGAGTAAACACGTTACATGTTTGGTCAACAGCCATAAACAGCCCATTCTTTACTGGATCTGTATCATCTGTTAGGACATCAAGCTGAAACTCTTTTTTGTTTTCAATGTCACATCTAAAAGATACATATATATATTCTTTAACTCTGTACTTAAGTAATATTTGACACGCTATAAACCAGTGTCTTTTCTTTACTAAATAAACTTTCTATTCAGCCGCATTACATTACCGCACTCGGTCCATTGTTGATGGCTGCTATTTCTACTATTCTTTTATCATGAACTACAGTACAATGGTACATAATTCATAGAGGTTGGACCACAATTCTCATCATTAAAAAATGAAATTAAAATCATTTAATTACTGAAATTTTGATTACTGAGCTACCCTCACTTTTTACTCTGTTTAAGGGAAGTAGTTGAAAGAGTAGGTCGTGGTACCAAGATCTGCCAGAGTGCCCCCTTTGTGTCTCATATAGGTATAACAGTCTAAAATGTCCTCTACAAATAGAGAACTAATCGATCTCTTAATCTTCGATGGTTTAGGCACGGCATCGGATTTCCGCGAAGCTCCAGGATCGATATTTCCTTAATGTGGTAATCTCCAAAATGAATGGCAACATCGGTTATCTATCACGCTGCGTCTCGTGGCAATTTTTGTACTTCGAAAAAACTTCAAAAACCTAGTGAAAATATACATTAGTTAAATCGCTCTTGCATGGAAATTCGATTCTTTCATTACCTCGTACACGAACTTATGCAAGCATTTTTAAAAAAATGAAGCATTTTGGAGAAAAATTTTATCTGACGAAGTTGTTCACGCTAGTCCTCTTCATACTCTAAGTGGAGCACATTTTTATTTTAGTGGGAAAATTTTAAAATAAATGCAATTTACGTACATTTTAAGTTAGTGTAAAGCTAAAAATTTTTTATTTGTAATTTATTTCAAAATTGTCCCTCTAAAATGAAAAAGTGCTCCACTTAGGTATGAAGAGGACTACCATGAAAAAATTTGCCAGCGAAAAGTTTTCTTTAAAGTGCTTCGTTTTTTTGAAAATGCTTGTATAAGTTCAAAAAAGTTACTTTAAAGGCTCAAACTACAATAGAATGAAAATCATTAATTTTCTCAGACACAGTTGGTTCAATTTTCATTATAACTTGTGGGTATATGTCACTTAATGTGCGCTGCCGAACTGCGTAACAATAAGTTCCAGCTTTAATTTTGAATATTTTTACACATTTTCTAAATAGAGGAATCAAAATAGTATGAAATTTGTAAAAATTTCTTTTCTCAACAATTACAACTCTGTTCATTGAAAACACTTCAAGGTATAAGTGGCTTGATGTGCTCTACAAAGTTATGGAAAAAACGGGGTGGTTAATCTCCCCTCCGGCACATCATAGGCAGGGCTGATACTTACCCATATCCTGTTTCATTAACTGTGATGTTATATGTACTGATATTGAAGCTACCAAATATTTTTTCGAATTCTTCTTTGATCTTAAAACAGATGTAACTAAGTCCATATATTATTTGTACTAGATAAAATGCACGTTACTTACCTGCGTACTGGTGGTATTTGAGTCACAACTGATGTAGAGGAAGAACGTACTTTCGGTCTGTGGCGTACCTAGAAATCGCATCACAAACAGCAAGTATTATATGTGTGATGCATAAAATTAAACCGTATCTATTGAATCAGTTTTACGTTACCTGACCCAGCTGGTAGAGGCACACAGCTATTTGTTGTTTTGTTGTATAAGTCGAAAGGCCCTGGACACTCACAAGTATAACGACTATTAGTTAGAATGATTAATATTAATGGATAATTGCATTCACAACTAACTGTGATATTGTTACACATTCCTGTCCCACAATCGATTCGATTGGCAGAGCAAGCATCTACTGATTTACAAGCAGTATTTGGTTTGCTGAAATCGAGTGCAGTGTTTATCAAATCAACATTATCTATAAAAGAAAACGTGAAGCATAATTTTACAGCTCGCTTATAACACGCACCATCCGGAATAAAGCCGATCAAGCAGCGACATTCAAATGAACCAATTAAGTTGACACAGAATGCATTAGCATAATCAGTACAGTTATCTGTTTTATTTTGACATTCATTGTAGTCGACACATACAAATTGATTTACGTCAGTCTAAAAAATAAACTTAACAACTAAAGATATCTTTTTTCCCCCTCTATTAATAACTCTTAATCATCAAGAGAAAACATCAGGTCACCTTGAAATTTTATCGGAGCTCTGGAACCGAACAAAAATTGATGTATTTTTTGCTTAAACTTATTAATGCGACTTTTCAAAAGCTCTCTAGAATACCAGATTTTTCACTGTCTACAGAATTGTACAATAAATTACGTAGAATTGGGATTTTTCACATTTTTCTACGAGAGGAGAGATACCTAGACGTTACTCTCTTTTAGATAGTATTCATTTCTATCGAAAGATGCTTTTCAAGCTTTACATTAGATAAAATGTTCGTTTTTGTGAACGTATAAGAATAAATCTTTCTTACCGAATCCTTTAGTTTGTAGCCAGGATCACATTGGCACCAGTAACTACCGTTGGTGTTGATACAGGTTGATTTTTGAGCGCAAACATTATCCAGCGGGACGGCGCATTCATTAATGTCTAAAAAATTAGAAATAAATATAGGCCGAGTTATTCAAGAACGTATGAATCATAATAAACATTACCGACGCAGTTGCCTATTTCTCCGGTGTAGCCGATTTTACACAGACAGTCGTAGCCGACGTTTTCAGTATTTTGATTTGTGGGGTTTAGAATACAAAACTGGTTGGTTGTGCTAGTATTACATAAGTCTCCCCATCCTAAAATCATATGTATATGAGTAGATCATGGTAAGCTTAATACTATCTACTCACGTGCTATATTACAATAATCCTTTACTCCATCACAATAGTCTCCTTCATATCCTTTATCACAGTTACAAAGATCAGTAACATCAGTAGCATTAACATTACATGTACCATACTGACATTGGCATATATAAGAGCAATTAGGACCAGCTCTACCCGGAACACACGCTATAATAGAGAAGAATAGCTGAAATACATAAGTTTTTGAATATAAATTCAAAGCATGCACACTAACCGACACAGTTGAATGTATTATCTAATTGTGTTCCAGGTGGACATGTGCATTTATACCCATTAGGCACCAGTGTACACTCAGAGCTGTTGTGACAATAGATGTTGCAATAATCAATCCCTAAATCGTCAAGAATTCACTTTCAATGAACTCATTTTCCACAGCAGCAGATAGCCTTACTTTCACATTGGGCCGTAGTCTCGTTATATTCCATTATTCTACTTGAACAAAACTGTTCAGTAGATGTGACGTTGCGACAAATATCGGTACTTACGTCACATACAATTTCAACACTTTCTACAAAAAAAATATATTGCTTCTTTCTCAACATGTTTCTTCATTTACTGAAACTCACCATTGCATATCAAATCGTTTGATGGAGAAACATTTACAAATCCATCTTTGCATGTACAATTGCACGTTCCGTTTATGTTCGTTCCACGCTGTCCTTTACCACTACATGGTAAAATATTATTGGTTGTGTTGACTGTGCTATTACATATATCGATTTCTAAAACAAGTTTTTAGTACTCTTATTGACAATACAGGTAAAATCATAGTAAATATAATATACCTGAACACATTGTACCGTTAAAATAATATCCTGAAGAGCAAATACATTCGTATCCAAGTTCTGTTCCTTCAATGTTCTGACATATATCTTGACCGCATGGATTTTTATCATTAATACACGGTTCAACAACTACAATAAAATTAGTGATTAATTTATCCACATGATAATTCAGTAAAACTTGCAAATGTCATTACATAAACACTGTTGTAGATTGTTATAAAACGTATAATAATCTCGCGCACAACAATTAGTGAGATTACATAATATGCCATTTAGTGAGGAGCAAACATATGGTGGAGATGAGTCCGACTCTTGTGGTCCAATATATTCACATTGAGTTGTATTCAAGAAATTTAATCTACATGCATGAATATCCATGCAATCGACGACTTTTTCACAAAACTCTCCTTTAAAAATACAAGTATTTTATTTTACAATAAAATTAATGAGGAGAGTTGATGATATTCACCTTTATTATATGGTTGACACACACAAAAGAATACACTAAGATAGGGTGATAAATCATTTTGATTTGTCAATGCTGGAGTTCCATTCACTTCGCATTCGTTTACAACTAATCTTAACACCTGATATGTTTTCTTGTTGATAATTATTTCCGTAACGACCACTCTGCCAAAAAACAGTAGATTAAACTCATACGAACGAATAAAAATATGGTGTTAGTCTCACTTACGTAATTTTCAAATTAGGCTTAGTTTCATTATTATAGACAAATGAACAGCTATAGATTGAATTTATTTTATTTATGCAATCCACAGTTGGCGAATCTTGTGATGTTAATAGCTGCACATTAATTGGAAGACTTGCATCTGTAACAGTAACATCAAATGAAACATTGTGAGATCTAACACTATCGCTTGTGTAACTATGAGGCATATCAAATTTATAAATATGAGGATCTCCATTAAAACCATACAGCAATTGAATTGATGGTGGATTACGTTCTATATAAATCAACAATATCTGTTTTTCATTCTTGTCATAAATCAACGAGTCTCTTTGGATGTTAATACTATCCCTGACTGTTTCTAGAGACTACTAAGTAGCTGGCATCGTTTTTAGATTAATACGTATCTACAGAAACATGATCGTGTTATGCTCAACAGTTTATTCTACATAATTAGTTTGCGTTTTCTCAAGAGAAAATTTAGATGAAACTTTTGTCAGGTTATATTTCCAAAAATGAATGACTAACGTTTAAAATATGTAGATATCATGATCTTCTGGCTCACATTAGTCCATTTTGTGAGGATTTAATTATGTGATATTGCATAGCTAACGTGCATTATAAAAGTTTATACTTACCAAGATATAAATTTGCTTGCTGAAAATTCACGAAGCTGCGGACAGTTAAACTTGATATTAAAGCCGATTGTGTTATAAGAAGATCTTGCACACAAAAGTCATTGACAATTTCTGTATTTTGGTCTAAACAACTTGTTTTAGTGTAATTTCGATATTTATCTGTTGTTGAACTCAAATACCAGCTGAGTAATGCTTGTCGATTCAAAGGTGTACCAGCAGATTCTGTACTGAGTGAAACTAGTGGAGAAAAAACTCATCGTTTAAGCTATAAGTTGATATTTCTTGAGTCACGTACAATTGGTGCAGATGTCATTTCTGTCTTCATATGAACTGCCTGTCAATCCAACGTAACCATTCATGACAAGTCCATGCACATTGCCCTCATATTTTTTTGGTAAGAGTAATGTGCATGCCATATTTTTAGTTATTAAATAGCATTGCATCGCAATACCTATGAAAAATAGTTCACTGATAAACAGGAGTCAACTAAAATTGAAAAGAATAGTAAACTAACCGGAATATGTCGATATCGTTAACTTAGGAACTTCTGCAGATAGCACTGGTCCATTATTCTGAAGCGGATTCCAGTTTGTGGCACTTATTTCTTCGTTTTCCCTAGCAATTGAAAACGAGATATTGCTGCTAATAGTATTACTGATGTCAGCTGGGTAATAGAAATAAGCAGCGAAGTTCGTGAGAGTCGTTTCAACAAATGGATTATTCACTGGACCGCGTTTTATAGAGTAACTAATATCTAAAAATAAAATAATGAGAAAATAATTGCTATGCACTTATCAAGTGTGAAATTCAATGTTTTTTGCTGAAGAACCAGCGCAAAAGAACCATCTATTTTTATTTATTCAAAGAAACTACTATCTATTTCAAAATCTAAGTACTGTGACTGTTATTTGAGTAACTTTTGACAGAAAGCAGCTAAAGAGCTCCGATTTTCGTCGTGCGAAAGAAGAGACTTGGAGACACGCTTTCGCAAGCAAAATAATTTTCAGAAGAGCTTTTTGAAACAGGTTTTCTAGGATATGTGTAAACATTTTTCAACAGGATTGTATCGAATTCTTTTCATGAGCTGTTCGCCTGGAATCTCTTCTTCAAAATGAGTGTCGAGCGAGACCTTGATCGTGCGCGGTTCGAGCTTTGTATCATCTAGTAATGTTGATAGCCTTGAAAATTGATGGATTATAGGCAATCAATCATGCTGAGTCTTGTGGTAACATTTGTTTTTAGGAAAAGTTTTAAAAATCTAGCAAAAAGTGAGTGTTACGAAGGTTTGGGTTTTTAGGCTGTTTTCACATAATACTAAACAACTCACTATTCACTCAAAAAACATCACAACAAGTCCAAAAATCCAGAATGTAGAGTATTGAGGCTCCTCTGTATCCTGTTCATAGCAGACCTAGAAAGAGATTTTATAAAACTCCAAGGTTTTCCGAAAGGATTTGTAGAAAACTCATGTACAGTACTGTGGTTTTTCGTTTTTTTCGATCTTATAATCACAGTTATAAGAATTAACCATATTCTGAAGTTTTGTAAGTTACTTGGCGAAAACCGCAGCTTTCTACCAAAAGTTACTAAAAAATAGTCACGGTTCTTAGATTTTGAAATGGATAGTAGGCATTTTTTCAAACTTTAATATACTGCTGAACTCTAATGAAAGATGTAAACTGATCTGAGTAGCACGAGAAGGTCCGATCAGTCAAATTGCGCTTACTAGTGGATAGAGGGTAGGCGAAAAATAGTGATTGAAACCACTCACCAAATAAGTTTCTGTCAGTTACGTTAACGTTAATAACCGTTTCGCTTTGTGCTCCTAATCGCATTGAAAAACTCGAATAATAGGTAAAAGTTTGATCTGTAAATAGTTCAGTTTTTAAATTTAATTTTTCTGCTGTTGTGGTAACCAAAATGGCGAATAATTCATCAGGAAGTAGTAAATTAGCATATGTTTGATTTCCATTGTTTGAAATTGCTGATTTATTAGCAGCAGCTGTTGTTTCGGCATATATAAATGTACCTTTCATATTACAGCTAAAATTTGATTTGGTCAATGTCTCCATATGCGGATCACCACCATACCACGCTTCAAATACAAGCAATATGATAGCTGTTTTCTTCGACACTTTACGAGCTGATACCTTGCATCGGCGGGTTATATCCGTCACAAGTGCTTGCCGGCCGAAGTTGATAGTATAAATTACACCATTTAGTCCAACTTATACCAGCTTTTGTGGGTAGACAACATTGATCACTAAATTCGATAGAAACCCAATAACTGACGATATACAGTCGTACTCTTTATCATCGTTACCGCTCCGTTATTCTCTGTGGTTCACTAAAGTTTTTTCTTAATTGTTTCAGAACCGCATCTCGTAATACTGAGCCAGCAAATTCACCAGCAGTCAACAAAGCTTTGATATAGTTGTTGTAACAGCATGTCTAGAAAAAATTCAAGACTTCAGATGCTTTAAATATTGATCTCTACTATACTTATAGCATAGATTTCTGATTTACTTAAAGCATAACAAACAAGAAGCAGTGATTAAAAAACTTGGGAGAAGAAAACGAAGTTTGCAATTCCTACGCAAAACTATCTGCGAGTTATATACAACATTCTTACATACATTTCGACTAACGAATTTATACAAAAATATACCTGCTGATATATTTTTAAGTTGGTGTTTTCAGTCATGGCACTAAGTGGCACAAAGCAAGTAACATTGTTATTCTGCTCCAACTGATTCTCGCTGTTCATTCTATAAAATCGAAAGTCGCTTGATGCTTGATCATAAGTACAGGGGCATGAATTGCGTGAAACAGTTCTACAATAAACTTATAGTATCAGAAAGCAGAGAGCTGATAGTAAGAAAGTCACTATACCTTAAGTCATCGATTTGTTTAAATGTTACGGCGGTATACTCTTTCCAATACCATTGTTCACATATACTAAGACTTCTTGAACTTACAAAATATGTTAAATTCATATCATTACCTTCGACGAAAATAAAATCCTTTAGGTAATAAATATCAAGGTATTGAGTTTTTGGTAATAAAATGAGTCCAACGAGAGTATGCGGTTTGCGATGGCCGCTTCAAATTAGGGTAAAGTTTTCCCGAAATATGGATCAAGTGATCTAGAAGTTTCAGCTTAAAGCCTCATAATTACCGTTTCAAAAGGGTTGGAAAATCCTTGTACCGATCGCTTAGCGTCCTATTGGCAGATCCGGTTCGATCAACAGATATCTGCTAGATACCGGTCACAGTTCTGCTGACCGGTCGCATCTCTGGGTATCGATCGAGTTAACCACTGGATAACACGATAATGAAGGCGAATGAATCACCACATTTTCTGGAAACTTTAGTCTAATCTGAAGTAGTCATTGGACAGTGTATATCCTTGTTGAACACATGTTATTACCGACAACTCTGACAGAAACTTACGCCTAATAAATTCGACTATTTGTTGAGTAAATGATACTTGTGCTTCAAGATACGTGCCATTTGGTCCTCGATAACCTGAAAAAGTCTCAAAATACTTTTAATCCAGGTTATCGTTAAGAGTGCTTACTTACCAAATACAACTGGCTGATAGTTGGGAGTATCCAGCGTAATATTTAAGTGGTATTCGTATAACAAATATGAGTTCCACAAAGTATAGTTGGCACTTGGTCCATTAATAAGATAGGCAGAAAATGTGACGTTCTAGGTAAGAGTAAAGTACAGTTCTGAGAATAACTATTTACAGTAAACGAGGATAAGCATTTCACTCAATTATACATACTCGATTGGTTTCATTGGTTGGTATTTGTGTGTCTACAGAATTGTTCGTAAACAAAGTTTGCCAGGTAGTTTTTACTACACGATAAAAGTTGGCTTCTACATCGATAGCCGTTTGATTATTACTCATAACTACATTTTTAACAACGTTTTTTAAGACTTCATTTTCAATCAAACCATTGTAGATACTTGCCTAAAATATACCAATTCAGTTAGAGAACGAACAGCTGGAATGTAATAACTAAGAATTTTCTTACAGATATTCTGGCTTCCCCCAAGATATACGAAAAATCTGTCCAAAACGGAGCTATATACGGTACTGTAATGTTTGAGAGGAATGCAGCCGTCGGTTCGACAGCATAAAATGGTGAATCCAAAGTAATGTAACCTCTATCGGTAACCTAGAAAAAAAGTTAAGTTATATATATGCGAGTCTATATCAAAACTGCATTCGACATCAAAAATCTTAATTTGCAATAAGATATCTAACAGCAACGAAAAAATCTAACCCATATAACTTTGTAATTTGTCTCTGGATCGGTGAACTGATAATTGAACGGTAGTGGATACGGCTTAACACGCATATTTCGTCCAATTGGGGAAGTGTTCTTATCATCCAATAAACTAAATTCAACATCTTAAACAAAATGGTGACAACGAAGTCAAGCGTTAAACTAGTCAGTATTTCCTTACTCGGACAATCTGCTACACAGGATTCATTAGTACTGATGACACTAATGCCACATGACTGCGGACAAAACTGCTCATATTTCTGAGTACCAGTTTTAAACGGACTGCATCCCTCTTCACCATAATCGCAATCTCCTATTGGAACACGCTTCGTTTTGTCAGGAACACAACACTCTGCAATAAATTGCATTTTGATCACGAAACTGACAATCGCAGCATAAAGATCGATCACTTACCAGGTACTGCCGTTGAAGAAATCGTCACTAAAACATTCGTAAGGTCGGTCAAGCATACTACAAATCATGAGAAATGTAAACCAAGAGTAGCGGAAAAAGAGCAACCAAAGTACATCAGTGAATACACATTGATACAAAAAAACCTCAACTCACAATTCAACCCTAACTTAATCCTTGCATAACCAGTGTATCAGCTTTGATAGTGCAACGCAAAATAAATGCTTCCCACAGATCCAAAATAAATCGCTGATAACGAAACTCAATGATCACGAATAGGGCAATACCACAAAAGCCAAAATACACCTAACTCCTTAACACTAGAACGCTCGTAGCAGTCATTTTGACCGTTTTGTGATTTTTATCATTAATAAAACAAACTCCATACAATTTATTTAAAAATAAATTATGTCATAACTTTTAATTTGTCCCACAAAAATTATTTCTTGCAGAATTTTTAATTCATTTTTTAATTCAGAACCATTTTTAAGTATAAAATTTTAAAAAAAACCAGTAACGGTCAAAATGACCGCTTTGGGCGTTCTAGATCATGAAAATTTCCGGGCGTTCTAGTGTTAACGCAACCAACTGCAACCCACCAAAACTGATTAAAAACAAAAAAGAAACACCTACTGCTACTACTTGACGATGTGGTCGATGACGTCGAACCTTCACTAGTTAATAGTGTGTTTGTGGTTGACACCTCTGTTTGTGTGGTCGTGGCTCCTGAAGTGGTCAGTATCGTTGTCGCTGTAATGGGCTCAGAAGCTGAAGTCATTGAATCGGAACCGGTTGGTTGAGTGGTTGTGATTGATATCTCTGTTTGTGCGGTTGCGGCTGCTGAACTGGTTGTTACCATTGTCTCGACGACTGGGCTGGAAAGTGGACTAGTCGGACCTCCACTTACTGATAATGTGGTTGCGGTTGATGACTCAGGTTGCCCGGTGGCGGAAGACGACATAGTGAATGAAACAGTGGCTCCTGAACTGGTTGATGTCGTTGTTGCAGTGACTGCGCTAGAAACCGAACTTGTCGCACCTTCACTGGTTAATACTGCGTATGTCGTTGACGCCTCTGTTTCCCCGGTGGTGCCTCCTGAGCTGGTCGATATGATTGTCGCGGTAGAAGTTGAACTTATCGAACCTTCACTCGTTGATAGTATGGCTATGGCTGACGACCCTGTTTGTTCGATGGTGGAAGACGACATAGTGAATGAGCCAGTGACTCCTGAACTGGTCGATACCATAGTCACTGTAAGGGGGTTCGTAGCCGAACTCGGCGAACCTTCGCCGGTTGATGGTGTGTTTATGGCTGACGCTTCTGTTTGTCCGATGGATGTGGTTGTGACTGGAATTTTGCTGACGGTTGTTGTGATGGGTGTGTGGTCCGTGAATCCTTCTGTTGTGACTAGAACGAAATGAAAGTTGTTGCGTAATGTTTGGTTGCTGTGGATGTTGAATGCTTACTCTGTCCGCTTCCGTCGTAGTCGTTGTCGTCAATTTGTATAGACTGTAGGAACTCATCTGAAATTGGTAGAAATTCCGGTTCTTCTAGAGGAGAAAGTGCGGTGTCGAGGTCTGTCGTATTGTAGTTTTTCTGATGTAGGGGTAGTTGGCGCTTCGACCTGTTATTCATTGTCTGAAGTTTGGATGATGGGGGGGTAGTGGGTATTCGAATCTCTATTATATTTTGCCGGATTAATGTGGATATGTTCGATTTTGTGGTTTTGCAAGGGACCTTACAGGTTGACGTAGCTGTGTAATACATTGTCGGTGTCATTATGTACGGTACTACAGGCTCTGTTGCTTTTCGTTTTGTAGTATTTGGTGGCGAAGTGGTTGAATTATTGCTGGTAATTAGTATAAAACCCTCTGACTGAGGATTTGCATCGGAGTTAAAGTTGTTGTGCGACGATTTGTATTCACGGACGTCGGAACGCAGGTTATGAGTATCGGTTAACCATGTGTTTGAATCAGACAGTGTTGCGTGAGTAATGTTAACAGTAGCTAAAAGTAAAAATGTCTGAGGTTCGGAATCAAATTCTGCGTGAAAATGAATCAATATGTTTCTGATGTGGAGATAGATTTTTATAAAAACCGTACTGACTTTCAATATGTTTAGAACTTACAAATTCGGTATATTTTTTGGACACATGCTTTTATTATGTTCCTCACTGAGTATTTTACTCTCCGTCTGCCAGGTTCATGCCACAAAACATGTGTTCCTACTTACTTGAGGTTATCAGAATAAAAAAGTGCAAGGACACGGGTAAAATATTTTGTGTGTCGCCATTAATCCAATGAGGTTTGTGTGGTGGATGCCACATATTTTTATCTAAAATAGAAAATGATTACTTAAGAAGGTTAGAATTTTTAGACGACATTCTTTTTTTTAGAGTTCTCTTTAATTCTATCAACTTACGCACATTAAAAGCCTTCAGTAAAAAACTAAGAGCAACAGTGATTATTGGAAATACCATTTGTGATTGAATAAAATATATATTTAATTAAAATAAGTACAAAAACAGTTTACATATATGGAATTCGACGTTTCGGAATTTAAATTTTCATTATCAAGAAAAATAACAATATATAGACAAGTCTATCTATTGCTTTCGAAAAGAGAAACAGGGTTGAAGAAAAAAATAAGTGAACTAAACTGCAATTGCTCTGCGCACTAGTTGCGATGTCGACAGAATCCGTCTCTGAATGAACCTACTGCTCCAAGTAGATCCTGTCAGTAGGCTATGAGCATTACATTTGTGCTTTGATTTACTCTTTGAACTGCTTATAATATAAAACAACAATGAAGGATATTTGAAAAACAGAGAAAGAAATAATTTTTCGTTCTCCGACTAAATGGCGTTGAACAAAGATAACAATAATTATTAAGTACAAAACACGTTTTTCTTCCACTTGTGTACCTTAGGACGCCGACTCAAACCGCTAATCAAAATTGCAGCGATAAAGAGGAGGACAACATTGTATACTTTAATCAGCTCTTCTTTGCAGAGTGCTCTTATCAGACTGCAACGAAACACGATCAATTGTTATTGTTTTTACTTTTAGGATATTCGTGAACAGCTGTAACATCGCTTCACATGGGGCATCATACCGAGTACAATACATAAAGAAATGTTTAGTTGATTTCCTTATTTATTCGATGTGTCGAAATTTAAATTTTCATTATCAACAAAAATAACAATATATAGACAAGTCTATCTGTTGCTTTCAAAAAAGAGAAACAAACTCAGGACTGATTAAGGAGCTACCTAGTTAAATCTTCAATCCTGCTTAAACCATATTTAATACATTTTCATCTGAATTTTCGTGATTATTTTATTTATCTTTTACTAGGCTACAAATTCTATACCTTGAGAACTTGGCGACATATAGATCGTAGTTCAAGGCGAGGAGGTATAAATATACCCACCCACAAAACTGATATTGTGATCGTTATAAAAATAATGTACCTTTACTGGCATGTTTTTGTTACAAATACACAGGATAAAATGAGCGCCTAGTAATACCAATAAATATGCGCAATTTCTAAAACTGAAATAAAAATTAGAAAAAATGACATACTGGGGAATGATATTTGCAGTGCTATTTTACAAAGTAAAATGTGAACTCATAAAACAATTAGTAATATCCTCTTGTACAAAAAAATGTGAAAAATATTGTGTTTAATAATCATCGCCTTTTAATTATCCCTTCTGCTTTATCTCTTCTTGCAAACAAATGAGTAAGATGTGATAAATATATAATTTTCCTTTTCCCCTTTAATTAACCTTTTTTTAAAAAAAAAAGAGTGTAGGTGTTATGTAGAATATCAATAAGTATACACCATTGTCTCATGCACTCGCTATTTAATTCTTAATTTATTTTCTGTCAATAGATATAGTTTCAACGATAAAACATAAGATTATTCTTTTCTCCCTTTGAAAGGTGATAAATAAACTGTGTACCAATTAATCAACCAACGTTTTCTTATTTCTATTCCTGCTGAGAATATTTTTTCTTTTTTTTCATAAATAAACTCTTTAATTACATATGTCAAAAGTACATACAACATTTATGTGGCACAAAAATCGATTAATAAATAAATCAAGAAAAAAAAGAAAAACAATAACAGAATTTTAGATGTCCAACTAATCGTTTTTTTCAGTATCATTATTCAGCCATTTTCAAATCTTAACAGATAAACTTCATATTTATGTGTAATCGTTTCTGTCTACTAATTTCAAAATAGTGTACCTGATGTATGGATGTTATTTTTAATATCATTCGATTAGAAAGAGATCTAGAGCTGTATAAACGATTTAGGACATACATTTATGAGAAAATTGACTCAGAGTTTTCATTTTACTATGCTATACTTCGCCACGCAGTAGTCAAAACGCGAAAAAAGAACGGATTTTACACTCTGAAAGATTGGCTCTCGAGCTCTCTCCTCCGAACTCCCTTCTTCATGTCTGCGCATGCCCAAATCTTCATATACCATGAGTTAGACATGCTAGCAAACACGGAAGATTTCCATATCTCTTGAAATTTCGAGTTTGAGGAAACTAAGACATACATGGAAGCATGGATTATTCACTATTTGCAGTCTGATGGCAATGGTTGTTTATACCGGATTCTGTTTCATTAGCTTGATCTAATTATATGCTTAGGATCAAAAAAAATATTTTCTTACTTAGAAAACTTTCGCAAAGATTTTTTCAAAAATCAGGGTGCTTTTTGTGGATCTTTAAAACTTTTACTGAACTATATGGTACAATGTATGCTCGACAGGGTATATCTTGATACTTGAAGTAGTTTCCGCAAGCTCGAAATTTTAAGCGATAGAGAGATCTTCTGTGATTGCTGGTATGTCTGACTCATAGTATATGGAGATTTGCGCACGCGCAGAAATGAAGAAGCGAGTCCGGAGAAGAGAATTCGTGAGCCAATCTTTGAGAGTGTAAAATCCGTTCTTTTTTCGCGTTTTGACTACTGCGTGGCGAAGTATAGCATTATTTCCAGTCAATCAGTATCAGGTAAAAAGTCAAAGGAGTAAATAGAAGAATAAACATAACAAAGCGTATGACCATCATTTATTGCATGAAATTACCATCTCATATTTCTTTCTCTCCATCGGTATTGATATCCTTGTATTTTGAACACATATAGACCATAAAAAATCATCAGATATTTTCAAATATTCCTATATATACAAATAGGAATATTCTGTCAAAATTAATGTAAAAACGTTGTTATTTCTGTAAGAAAAGAAAATTTAAAACAATCTACTGAGAGAACGCAGTATCAATAATTTGTTCAGTAGAATAATTCGTTAATTAGTAGTATGAAAGCGTGCAATCAACCAGCTATAGAGTTGTAACGCTGCCGTTTTATTTAACATTCCCTTAAGCGTTTCGATTTTGTTTGTCGGTAGATTATTGCTGTTAGTTAATTGTTTAAGAACACTCGTACCAGTAGCGGTATAAGAAAGATTGATGAGAGAGCTTACATAAAAATGAAGAAATTGACAAAGGAAAACAGAAAGGAAGAAAGAAACAATGTCAACGATACTTTGAGAGTGAGTTTTCAGAACCCATTGCGGCACTTTTTAAAGAAATGTGCTATGTTTTTTATTATTTGGCTTCTTAACATATTTATAAACATTTGAGATATGCAAGACATTTGGAAAAATGTCTACATATCTCAAATGTTTGAAAAAAACCCACTAAATCATCGTTTGCTTTTGAGTTAACAAGGTCTTACAACTAATTAGTCACGTTTACACAAAATCTCAGAAATTCAGAAATTCAAAGTTATGCTTATACACTGCGCGCTAGTCACATTTATATAAAATGTCAGAATTTCAAAATTTCACAGTTATCCTTATACCGCGTGCAACAGCCACATTTACACAAACTGTCAGAATGTAAGAATTTCAAAGTACTTACACCGTGTGCCATAGTCGCATTTATACAAAATGTCACAATTCCAGAATTTCAGAATACCAAAATTATCCCTGCACCATGTGCGATAGTCACACTCATACAATTTGTTACAATTTAATAATTTGAGAACTCCAAAGTTATCCCTATAACGTGTGCGAGAGTCACACTTGTACAAAATGTCACAATTTCAGAAATTAAGAATTTCACAGTACTTACACCGTGTAGCATAATCGCATTTATACAAAATGTCACAATTCCAGAACTTCAGAATACCAAAATTATCCTTCTACCGTGTGCGATAGTCGCACTTACACAAAATCTCAGAATTTAATATATTCAAAGTTATGCTGATGAGTTTAAAGTTATGCTTATAACGTGTGCGACAGTCCCGATTACACAAAATGTCGAAATTTCAGAAATTATCAATTTCACAGTACTTCCACCGTGTGGCATAATCGCATGTCTAGAAAATGTCACAATTCCAGAATTTCAGAATTCCAAAGCTATCCTTACACCGTGTGCGATAGTCACACTTGTAGAAAAAGTTGCAATTTCAGAATAATATAATGCAACTTCAAAGTTATTCCTGCAGCATGTGCGATAGTGACACTCATACAGTTTGTTACAATTTCGTAATTTCAGAACTCCGCGACTGCGTTTACTACTCGCTATCCCTCTCATTCCGAAG